AAGACGGGTCATTCCCTCGACTCTACACTCTAATCATACAGATGGTTTGAATTACAGCTGTGCTTTTACTGCTCTTCTGACAAGTTCAAATGTCTGCTGCACCCAGAGATTTATTGTGACGGTTCACTGCAGTGACTTTCTGCAACACTTAACAGAAGTGAGCTGTGTGTTATTAAATTCATCTGTGCTTTAGTTACAATGACTTATCGTAATTGTAGTTTCCACACCTATTACGTTTTCTTTTTTCAAATGGTATTAAATATGTGATGATAATAACCACCTGGTGACTAATTTATAACCAGCTGACTTTGAAAAAGTTGGATTCATCTGTTTGGGTAGCTACGGTGTTAAATCCTTTCAACAGATTTATTCAGCTGTAAATCTGTTCATTACTAGACGAGTTGTTTGAACCTGAACAAACATCTTTACTTCTTACAAGCTTCATTTAGACCTTGTCCACATGGAAGTACGGCACTGTTTCTAGAAGTGTTTTCATCCACACAGAAACACTGAAACTAACTCAAAACTCTACTGTAAATGTGCCTAACTTGTTTGCTGTAACACTGCTTTAAGATTTCCCCCCAAACCAAAGAACAAGGGTGTCTCTCCCTGGTTATACCCAAAATTATTTCCTGGCTCCCAGTTTTGTGTTCAGACCAAGTACAAGTACGAACATTTAAGTACCTGCCAGTACTGACACCAATACAAGTGCAAATCATCGCCATTAGACGTGGTGCAATGGCGAGTAAGGGAGACTTACTTCTTGTTTTGTCAATCAGGACCAGGACACCAATATTCGTCTCCACCCATTATTGAGTGGTGAGAAATTTGGGAAGCTTGATCCAGATTTGTTTATTCCTACGACCTCTTCTGCTCATTGAAAGACTGTATCACTGAAAGTACTTTTCTGGTGGGTCTACATCCTGTTGGGGTGTTTTATTTGGCTGGTAGAGCTGCCCCTGTAGATCTTTGAGGTGAAAGATGTTTCCCTTGAAAATGTCCAGCTGTCTTCAGTCAGACTGCCAAAGCTTTAACCACACTTCCCGATGCCAAAAGGCCCTTGTTGACCTACAGCTGGAGTGTGTGCGCGCCAAACGGGTGGCTGCCATTTACCACTGCTATTAGAAAACACTTTAAAGGCAGTTGCGTTGGTTTTAAAAAAAATATGTTTTATCTAATTGCTTTTGTTGAAAGAGTGATATTTTGCCTCTTCTTTTGACAACTTTACAGAGCATCATTAACAATCTGCTTTACTTTTGTCACAAATACCCTCACATGACTGACATTGCTCCTCCTTTACCACCTGACAACTCAAGTGAGAAGTAAATGTCTCATTGCCAAAAAGTGACATTAGGTTCTTTAGTATCAGAACACTTTTATGAGTATGAATATGAGTATGCTATCATACATATACAGTACCTGATACTGGTATTGGTATCTGTGCATACCTAGCATGGATTTATTTGACTTAGTAGGGAAAGTTTTTGTACATCAAGGTCAGACGTAAAAGTATACGTCTTTGTTGCAACCAAAGCATTCACCCTGTTAGTCAAAATAAAATATATGCAGAAGCAGTATGCTGAGGTTTCCCATGGCTGAGGGATGTGAATAGTGAATGTTGAGTGTTTTTCTGGACTGAGATTGAACAGAGAATGCGAGGCTACCCAGTTTTCAAAAGGAACCTTCCTTAAGCCTAGTTACGCCCCACACTAAAGCAGAAGTTGGTAACTCACGTACTTTTAGGTGATAACGCAGCTTGTAACATCATATAATACGTATATCATATAGTGCAACATGCATGGATGTACTGACACGGAGTAAATTTCCAATTTGCTCTTTGTTCTGTGAAGAGGGACAGTAAACTCCAGTCACATTGTTAATTTTCCATCAAAGCTTTTTGAGGTGCTCTTTAACACGTCAGCTCATTTGTATGCTTTATCTGCTCCGTATACGTTTACTTCCAAACAAAAAGCTACACTCCAGTGCCAATATTCTTCTACTAATCCATAAAGCTAAAAGACTAGGAAGGAACAAAAAAATACATGAGGAATATGGAAGCTGCAAAAGCTGAGCAGTTTTTAAAGTGTTTTTGAGCACTCATTTATTTCTGTTGTCTGTTGGGCAGCGATGCAGGTAGTCCTGATCAGTGGCGATTTTAGCCTCGTTTTGGGGGTGTTCAAGCACCCCTAAATTTGAACTCAGCACCCCTAAAAGTAAAGTAAAAAAAAATATATATAATATATATTTTTATTAAATTTTTTTTTGGGGGGGGGGGCAGTTCTGGGTTTGGGGTTCTGTTTATTGCATTTATGATTCAATGCAACAAAATAAACACATTTAAAAGGTAACAGATCATTGTAATACTTGGTTTATTTATATAATACATAATACATACAATGACACAATACATACAATAATAATACATAACGTTAAAATCGGGTCTCTCTTGTAAATGAGTCCTCGAGGCTCAATGGGATTAACCTGTCTAAATAATGAATGAAAAAAAAAAAACAGAATTTAATTGCTGGATGTTCTGCCCCCGAGTTGCTGGCTTTCAGAAACTGTGACTGACCAACACCCCCCCCCCCCTCCCCCCCGAGCAGTTTAGTTGAATAGCCCTGCTACTAGGTTAATGCTTCAAACTAGTTGTGTTTTGTTTTGTGTGTTTTTTATGTAGATATCGTTGTAACTTCTGGTCGCGTAAGTTTAGTTTTTGTTTGTTATGATCAGTTAACACTAAACTAATTTTGTACAAAGTGTTTATTAGGTTGTGTAATTAAAGCAGAGCGCTACATCTGTAGCGTCTTAGCTAGCGCGTCTGTATTGTACGCCGCTAGCTGAGCCCTACTTCTTCTTGTGCCAAGCTCTGTAAATTAATTATTGAATTGTGTTTACTTATGGAGGTAAACGTAGATGTTTAGCAACCTGTTAAAAGACCCCAGAATGCAGGAAATGGCATCTACATTATTCAAAATTTTCTGGGGGAGGACCCCCAGAACCCACACCACTGTGTCGCCCCCCTGACCTCCCCCCGACACACAAATTATGAATGCTTCTGGCACCAATGGTCACCATGTTGTTCAAGCCAAGATCTACTGTCAGCACCGAGGGCTGAGCGCCCCTAAAGGTCAGATTCTAGAA